CTGGCACCCACCTTTAGACAAAGGACCTAGACATTAAAACCTTCTCCCTCACTTGGTCTTCCTTATTCGCCATCTGAAGTCTACTTGTTTTCTTGGGAGCACTTCGCAGTGAGCTGCCACGGTCCCATTTTTGTGCACGTGGATTGCTGCTAGTGGAGGGATCCAGAGCGGTGTGGTGGCACAGGCACCCGCCCTTCAGACCATGCTGCAGCAGCCAGAGACTGTCCCTAAAGCAGGTAAGAATCGCATACCTTCCCTTCTCCTCCAGGCTCAGCAGCACCTCCCATCTCCTTCCCTCCCATTTGCGTGGATACCTTTAAGAGTGTTACGTATAAATTGTTACGTTGGCCCCGGGGATTACAGGAAGGAACAGCAGATCAGGAGGCTAAGAAGGCTCTCTGAATAAGCAAGCTTTATTGCTTTATAAGTTTAACACCTTGGTCTTTTCAGAATAACACACCTTCTCCCCTCCCCTGCCTACCATTTCTGTTCCCAGCTGACTCTGGAGTGGGGAGATGCTCCAGAGTTGCTCCTGCCCTACTCCAGCTGGGCTGTGCAGGGATCTAGGCTCCACCAGGGACAGCAGCAGTAGTGAGTGGGTTTTCCTCCCTGCTTGGTCCCCACCAGCCCAAGAGCTGGTGCAAGGAGGAACCACCCACCAACTTCCCTAGGAAAGCCCAGCTCCCCACGCTGCCTCCGCTGTAGCAGGATAGGAGCAGCTGGGACAGCGATGGTAGTAGGCATGTCTCCCCTTCCTGCAGCCAGAGGCATACGTAGAGAGGGCCAGGAGAAGGCGGCAGCGGAGGGAATGGGAGGTGCGGCGGAGTGGCAGTGCCAAGTGCAGAAAGGATGTTTCTTACCTGATTCAGGGACTTGCATCCCTGGCCACTGCTCCTGCAACACGGTTTGCCCACCCTGGTGGGAAAAGGGAGGGAGATGGGGAGTAGGGGAGTTGTATTTCTTTTAGTCAAAAAGACCATTTGAAAAAAATAAGTGTATTTGGCAAAAAGTTGCTGCTGTTGAAGGCTTCAGAAACAAAGAAACATGCAACCTTATAAAAACATAATTGCACCTAATCAAAGAAGTTACTGAAACTTTTCTTTTGCCGGCTTTGGTAGATGAAAAATTCAGTAACAGTTTGAATAACGCCTTTTGGAAAAATAAGTCTGGAAGAGAGTGAAGAGATTAGGCCCACTTGAAACGCACTGAAGAAGGGGGGTGACATCTCCACTCGCTCTAGTAACAAATCTGTGTCCAAGTGACATTTAAGCAACCTTGAGTCTGTGTATACTCTGCACTTACTCTGAAGTTCTTGGGGTGATTTATTTTGCTTTCTTGATAGGTTTGGATGCCAGAAAAATATATTCCTTCTAACTTGAAAGAGAACTGCTAGCAACCATTGCCGAGGGGCTGATTCATGTGTTAAGCACAAAATGTGACTGGACACAGTTGAGTCGATTGTGAAAGTTTTCTGAACTCTCCTCAGCGACAGGGGCACATGCTTCCTGACGTACACACACGCTTAACCCCTGCTGTCTATAAGGAAAACAGACTTTAGTCTATAGTTTGCAAGAGAAGAGCTGTCATATTGGTCTACTGAATTTTTTTTTTCTAATCCTCTCTTCCACACTCCTCCAAGGTCTGCTAAGTGGGAGAAATTGAAGGCTCAATCCAAGAAAACCCAAATTGAATCTAGATTTGTATATTTAGGTGAATGTTAAAGTACCCCTCTCTCCCTCCCCAGGTACACGCACACACGTATCTTGTTCTGCTAATGAATAAGAACATGAGCAAGCCGTTTTTGAGCTGAACTGTCTTCACATTTGGCCAGCTCCAAAAGGAGCAGGGACTCTCCCTCAGTTAATGCATTATCTGTTAATCATGTGCACTGAAGACAGATTAAGATCACCAAGTAATTTATCTAGGCAGTTCAGCCCTTCGAATAACAATTTTATAAAGGCAAGTGTGCTCATTTCAGGATTTCTGGTTTCTTAGTATTCCAATGGTACAAAAGCACACGGAGATGGAGCGAGGGCCAGACACCACACACAACATTACAACAAAAATACTATCTCTGTGAGCTTGCGCTCTGAATCGGCCTCTAGGGTTTATCCATGCGCAGGCACTGCCTTGTACATAGTCTCAAGAATATAACATTCTTGGGATCCAGAAAAGTGAAAATATCAGTGCTTTCTGAACCTGAGGGACAAATTCTGTCCTCAGATACAGGGAGACAATTCTCATTTTTTAATCCACTGCGCTGTGCATCCAAGGGTGGAGTTTGGCCAGTAGTGTATCATCTGTTGTAACAGAGTTAAGTATTTAAGATCCTGCTAGAGCACGTTCAATTGTTTTTGCAGAAAGACTCTGCTTCGTCAGTGCCTCTTGGAGCTGCAAGTGCTGTTTTCCAAACCTTATTTCCATTTTGTTACAAATTTGCAAGTAAAGTGTTGCAGAATATTCAGAATCCATAAATATCTGACGTGTAAAGAGAGAGCGAGCGCTCACCCGTACCACCTTTTTAGGGACATTTTCCCAGCTCCGTGCTGTTATGCACGTACACAGTCCGTTACAAAACTCCCAGGTTTCTTATCCTGCAGGCTATTCTCTCCCTTTCTGCATTTTACAGTGCAGCAGAAACCAGTAACTGCATGAATCTGAGAAGCCCCATCTTCCTGCAGAAGCTTACAACTGCCTAAAACTTTCTTAGATCATGAAAACCAAAATGTTGCACTTAAAAAAGGAGTTACTCACCCATCAAGCAGGCTGCGCCTAAACTCCAGAGCAGAGACCTGGGCCACGGACCCATTTTTCCAAGGGTGTACCATAAAGCGCCTCACCAAGCGGGATCAGCCACTGATCTGGATCTAACAGTTTATCCTCTTTAGTCTTTGTTCCCAATATCATCACCTGACTGGTCATGTGGCTGAGTCGCATCAAACCCCCACAATAAGCCCAGCAGGGCTTACTTGCAGACTGAGGCAGGCCTGTTTCACAAGTCTCTTGTCTTTCGAAAGCGCAAGCCCAAAATAAATATTATGTAAAAAAGGTTTCTCTTGAGCCTGATGATCTTCCTGTTCTGGACTGAAATGTTGGCAAGAGAGCTGAGCTCTGAAAGCTGAAGGCAAAAGGAGCAGCTGCTGGATGCCACACGCAGGGGTACAGAAAGGCTAGGCAGCTGGCTGCTGTCCAAACCCCAGATCTTAACTTCAGCAACCATTGCTTCATTAAAAAAAAAAAAAAAGAAAGAACAACCCACAGAGTCCCTCTTCTCTTTTGTTTTTAAACTGCAGCCATTAATGTTGTAACTAAGAGTACCCTTAATTATGTCAGGGACTAACCTAAACAAATTTACTAGCATGACAAAAATTGCCAGGGTTGATTAGTGACTGACAACCATACAGTGGTTGATGCATGGAGAGAATTTGTTACTAGATTGCTTGCCACCACCGTTGCATTTTTTTTCTTTTTAATTTGGATGCAGGATCTGCAAAATCATTTCCCCACTTGCAGTCGTGCTTCTAAGTTCTGTGGCGTTTTGTTCTTGTTCTTCCTTCGCTTCTGGTAGTTTGAGTAAGTGTTTTTTTTCTTACTTTGTTTATTGAATGCAAGGTTAATCCTCCTTAGATTTCCCATGCATTTGTCCACCAGCTTCTAATGCTAGACACTGAAAAGCATCTGTCTCGGATTTGTCCGTTTGACTGTAGTTAATTAACTGAGAGAGATCAGGAGCAATTTAACACGTGCATTTTTTTTCATTTCGTTCTTTCCAGGCATCACAAATTGCCAGTCATTGAGTGGTAAATTTAGTACTTGAG